GGAATTGGAGGAGCAGCTGACAACTGAGACAGGTAAGGAAACCAGGTCTGCCTGGGTCATGCTGGTGCTATCAGAATGACCTTGGCCCTGTCCAGTTTTATTTTTTTGTATAACTTTGTTGAGAAGGGGAAGAGGTGGGAAGGGGATTGTGAGATCAACTGATCATCATGGCATCTCCCATGGAACTCTTGCCCAGTCCCACTCTGGAGCAATACCTGGGGCACTTCACGTTACGAATTGTGGTGAATAAGCCTATTTCCGCAAAGCCCCACTTCTTGAAGACTGTATGTAGGGGTTGGGGATGTATCCCCTCCCATATTTCTGATGAAATAAACCAAGCCAAATATGTCAAGTGACATTTGTTTGCCTAGGAAATTAATGCACTGATAGCAGAGTTCACAAACTCTTTGCAAAGATATGGCATGACCTGGCCCTGCGCCTTGCTGGTTTATATAAAACATGGAAATAGTATTTTCTGTGAGGATTCTCACTGACTTGCCCTGAATGAGGGGAAGAAAGCACTCACATGATCTGTGCAGAGTTCCAGGGCATTGATGTGCAGGCCTCATTCTGGAGGTGTCCATCTCCTCTGGGTGCTGTAGCCATTGGTATGTGCATCTCAGCCCTCTAGGGAAGCATCTGTGGTTAGGTGTATGGATGGTGGTGTTTGCTTGAAAAGGGACCCCACAGCAGAGATTGCTAGCTTGCAACCATTATCTGAGAGACTCCTTAACTTTGATTGTGGGACTCAGAAATTGGTGCAAAGGGTGCTTGTGAGGCTGAAAGCATGTGGGAACCCACCACTGCAGGCACTGCACGTGTAGTCTGGTGTGAGGGACTGCGTATGTCACAGACATTTGTCTGAGTAGTTGTAGGCACTGTCTGGCTGATATTGTAGGGCTGTCCATAATTATTCTTGCTAATGTGGCCAATGAATGGAATCTCTATGTTGGTAGCAGCACCTGTGCTCATAGGCAGTCCAATGTTGTGCCTATTAACTCTAGCTCTTGAGATGGAGTAAGGTGAGATTTTTGCTTGTTTATCTGTAGGCCCAGAGTGTTGAATAACCAGATTGTCTCTGTGGTGTAGTCCATGGCCATTTGTTCCATAGGAGTCACTATCAGGCAATCATCTACATAAGGAAAAATTACTATTCCTACTTTCCTGAAGTGGGCAACTGCTATAGCAGGGATCTTGGAGAAAACCCTGGGTGCTGAAGATAGGCCCAAGGGTAAGACTTGATACTAACTGTGCTGATCCTTTAGTGCAAACCTGAGGAATTTTCTGTGCCAAGAGCAAATTGCTATGTAGAAATATGCATCCTATAGGTCAAGGGACGACATCCAGTTTCCTTTTTCAAGGGCCAGAATTATCTTGTCTAGGGTTACCCTTGGTGAATCCTTGCCTTTTCAAGTACTTGTTCAACCTACGTAAGTCCAGGATGGGCCTCCAACCTCCTGATTTCTTTGGAGTGAGAAATTATCAGGAGTAGAAGGTCTTCCCCTTCTGATGTGCTGATATAAGCTCTATTTCTCACATCTAGAGCAGTTTGTGTATCTCCTGCTGGAGCAGAGTCTCCTGAAAGGAGTCCCTGAAGAAGGATGGGGAAGGAGGTTGGGTTTGTGAAAAGGTAAGAAAGGGAATAATGAGGCCTTTCACTATTACCTCCGAGGCCCATCTGTATATTGTAATCCTGGCCCAGGCATGGTGGAAAGGCTGAAGGCTGAATCAGTACTGCTTGGCTGATGAAAATGTCAAACCCTCGACCAGATGTTCAAAACGTCTGCCTGCCATTGGAGGACTGAGATGTGGCAGGTTGTTCTTGAGGCTGCCTACATTTGTTGCCTCTGCTGGTGTCTGACATCATAGCTCCTCTGAGTGCGGTATGATGATGATCTGCCCTGGGGCATGTTAAGGAGGTTAAATCTCTTTTTGGCCTGAGGGACATGCATACCTAATGTCTTGAGCCTGGCTCGCAAGTCCTTGAGCAAATGCAAAGAAGCATCTGTCGTGGTAGAAAAAGTGCTTCTGCTCCTCGAAGGGGAGATCCTCAACCGTGTTCTGCACCTCCCCAGGGAACCAAGAGAGGAGCAGCCAGGAGGCCTGACGCATGACCCTCAACATCGCCAGTTACCTTGAGACAGTATCCGGTGCATCAAGCAACACCGGCAGAGCACTTTTTGCTATGAGAACCCCATCATCTATATTGGAGTAGATAATTTCATGGAGGTTAGGAAGCTAGATAATTTCATGGAGGTTAGGTCCATAAAAGGCTATTAGCCAGGGGATAAAATGGTGTCCTTGGCCTCTGTTTGTCAGAGGCTGGAGAGGGATGGCAGGAGACAAATCGCTTGATCATTGTCTTCGGTCCACCCTCTCTGGGGCACCTGGTGCTGGCCACTGTTGGCAGACAGGATACTGGGCTAGATGGACCTTTGGTCTGACCCAGAACGGCCATTCTTATGTTCTTATGAAGCTTGGTAGTCCTCAGGCAGCTGTTCAATAAACGTTTTTATTTTATCAAAATGGTAGTATGTGTATTTTGCTAGCAATGCTGGCTCATCTGCTATTCTGATCTGGAGGATGCGGAGGAGTATGATTTTCTATCCAAAATGTCCAGCGTCTTCCAGTCCTTGTCATAAGGAGTGGATTTATATTGGGTCCGTTTGCCCTGGTATTGGTTGCATCCACCACGAGAGTTTGGTACCAGATGGGTGAACAAAAATTCAGCTCCTTTGGCAGGAACGTAGTACTTCCTGTCTGCCCTTTGTGAGTTCAGGGAAATTGAGGCTGAAGTTTGCCACAAGATCTTTGCCAGGTCAAGTAGTGCCTTGTAGATTGGCAAAGCTATTTTCAATGACACTGACACATGCAATATATCAGCCAACTTGTGCTGAACCTCAGGAACCTCAACTAAGGAAATGTTGAGGGAATAGGCAACCCTCCTGTATAGGTCCTGAAAGGACGTGAAGTCATCGCCTGCTGTCAGCGGAGGGGCCTTATAGATTCATCTGGAGAGAAAGAGGAGATGTGCGATGGAGGTAAGTTGTCCTCCTCCTGTGTCTCCTCAGATCTTCCATCTCCTCTTTCACATCTGGTGGATGAAGGTAGTTTAGGAACTATTCCTGAGGTCTAGCTACTGCTGTCAATTGCAGTGCTGCTGCCTGAGCTCTCATGGGGCCCCATGGATCCCATCCCTGCCATCACTGAGGGAATGGAATGAGAGGGAACCATGGGAATGGTTGTCACATCTGGGGATAGCTTTGTTGTTACTGAGAGGATGGCTTTGGAGAGGAGAGTTATGGAAAGAAAGATTTCTTCATCATCCTCACTGCTACCAAGAAAAGGGTGGGGACGAGCTTGATGTTGTAGTCAGTCTTCTGGGGCCCTCTAACGTAGGTGTAGCATTGGTACTGAATAACAATGTGCCCGGTACTGACGAAAAAGCCAGTTCCTGATGTTTGGTGAGCAGCATTGGAGGAGGAAAAACCGATGCTGGCAGTACAGAGGGCTGGTGTTGTTGCAGTACCAAGTCGCCCCATACCGTGAATATGTTCAGTACTGGGGAAACTTCGGTACGCAGTGCCAGTGCTGTCTTCATTGGGAGTCTGTACCACTGCTGTTATTTGGACCCAACGGACACCAGAAGCATAGGCCAGCCTGCCAATCTCCCCATGGTGCTTCCTCGCTCTCTGACTCAATGGTAGGCTCTGTCAATGTGAACATGCTACTATAGAGAATATTCTACTCTTGCCTGTATTGTGGACACGGCCCCTTGCCTTCTCCATGTTGGGTGGACAGACCTGATCATAGAATATTTGAGCTTATCTTGTAGTGTAGACAAATCTAAGATGAGGTGTTTGTTTGTTTGTTTAAATGGATGAATTCAACAATGATCTATTCTACTAATGAATCAAAAGTCCAGTTTTGTGACCCTATTTACAAAATACACAATTTAGATAAGTGAAAATGTTTCAATACGGGGGTGTATCTAGACTACAGGGTTTTGTCGACAAAAGTGGACTTTTGTTGACAAAAGCATACCTGCATCTACACTGCTGAGGAGTTCTGTCAACATAACACCGATAGAACTCAGCAGTTTTGTCGACGGCTGTAAACCTCATTCTACGAGGAATAATACCTTTTGTCGACAGAGTTCTGTCAAAAGAAGGTATTACTGCATCTACACTGTCCTTTGCGTCTACATTGTCATGTCGACAAAGTGTCTTGATTTGTCAACAGAACTGGATGTAGTCTAGATGCTCTTTGCTGACAGAAGCTTTGTCAACAGTACCTGTCGACAAAACTTGTGTCGACAAAAGCCTGAAGTCTAGACGTATCCAGTGTGACTGATTATGTCACTTTAAAGAGATGAACAGAAATAATAGGTTTTGCTATTTTTAATAGATCTTTTTAGAGTTTAATCAGAAGTGACATGTGGCTTCTGCAAGAGTTCTGAGACTGTCTGATTCAACATCTACACAAAGGTTTGCACACCAGCCTATTTGATTCAGATAGCTATTTGATTCATCACCACTGGATGGGTTTTAGCATCAAACTTTATTACCAGGGCTTGACAAGCGGTGGCGAGCCCCGCTTGCCAGCCACGCGGTTTGGCACACTGCGCATGCGCAGACCACGCTACGTGCGTGCTGATTGTGCTGTGGCACCGTGCCCGGCTAAAATCTACTCGCCACGGGCAAGTAGATTGCCCTAATTGTCGAGCCCTGTTCATTACTATTTCCTTTCCCTATTCAGGAATTCAAAAATTAAATACTAATAAAAAGACTGAGCCCAAAACTTCAGTGACAAACTCTTTCAGGATAGGCAAAAGTATTAGTGTTTGTAGGTTACTCCTTCCAAAAAGTAAATATAGTACTTTTTCATATTTCTTAACCAAAAAATATGGTTATGAAAAGGGATTCCTTACCAATGGATGATTTCCCAACCTGCAAAGAAACAAGCCAAAGAAATAAAGTAACACTTTAAAAATCACTCACCTGATTGGCTAGTTGTAACTGATCTTGAAGATTTCTTACAATTTCTTCATCTGCAAACACATCACTCCCCAAGACAGTGCCAGAAGGAAGGTCCTCCAGTTGCTTCTCAACAATCTCTTTCAATTCCTCATGGAGCCTGTGATACAAATTAGTAGTGAAGTAAACCATTGCTCTTTCAACAAGTAAAAAAATCCACACATTTAAAGTAACAAATACAACTGGTGTAAAACATTTTTTTAAACAAGTTGTATTTTTAGTGCACCTTCTAAATGTAACTGAAATTCTGAATTAATGTTTAATTATCTTTGAGTGTATCATAAAAATGAAAACAATTTAAAATGTGGGAAATTCACTATAATGTTCTCAAAGAGGTAACAGAGTCATACAACACCCTTGCTTTCTTCTCCAAAAGAAACTCATTAAATACTATGGGTTTGTCTACATCATTATGTCCATACCAGGGTGGTATCAATTTTTAGTCTGAACTAACTAATGAAAACTTTGATGTTGTGCACTAAAAAAATTCCCTAATATGTGTTGACATAGTAGTGTTTGAAATAGGACCACAAAGATGTTCCCATGGAAAGTCTTGGTACACTACAGCATGTCCACACAGGCTAGTTAGTAAAGGGTATATTACTGAGGATTAAATCTTACACCCCTCTGGTGGAAATAGAGCTCCATGTAGTGAAGCCCTAAGGTTACCTCAACCAGAAGCTCAGCTATTAAAAACAAACTCTATATATTTTCAAGTATTTATGTTGTGCACATCTATCAGCTTTTATAACGGTCACTTATTCTTGCCATTGAGAAGAATGGTATAAAACAAAAGCGGTCGTCTAATCTGAGTCTGAATGTTAATCCCCCTCATCATGAAGACTAGAATATCAATTGCTGTCTCTTAACCAACTTCTTCCTCCATTAAAGCACAAAGCCAAAGCCTGGGTGGAGGAGGGGGGAGAGGGAAACAAGAACTAAATTAAACTCAAGAGTTTTAGATGTTTTTCCAGAAAGTTTGCAAATTATGTTCTTTTTTTAACCCTGATTTCTCAGGCATAAACTCAAAAACTTTTATATCCTCATCAAACATTACTTTTGCAGAATTGCTCTAGGTGAAAATGAGATGCATGGGCAATTCAATGATAGTACATTCTTTAAAAATGTAAATTGTGTTCTAATAGAGAGAAGTGGAGCCCTTCAGAGCTATGGGTAAATTTTAGAGTTTGCCATTGAAATAAACCTGTATTCTACTCTTCTCTTCCCCATTGTCCAAAGATTAGAGTGACTGGTAAGGTACCAGAATGCTGCAGTTAAGACCATAGCAACTTTATTTTTAACTAAAATACTATTATATTACCAATTATTAGTTTGTTTATTCCAACTATTTGGAAGTTGTAGAATTGCCAACATTGTTGACCAATTTTAAATGAAATTGCAAACTTCTAAATTTAAAACATTTTGACCCTTGCTATTTTTCCTAAGGTTAAGGCAGCATTTTGGAGCATTATCCCCTTCTTGCACAAGAAAAACTCTCTTGCGCAATGCCATTATTCCCGAAAATAATCAGCGTAGCAGCATTGCGCAAGAGGGTTTTTCTTGCACGAGAAGGGGCAGTGTAGACAGCTCCTTCTTACGCAAGAGCCTCGTCCGCAAAATGGCGGCTCATTAGATATGGAAATGAGGGTTGGCGATATTCCACACATATTCATTTGCATAGCTCTGGCGCAAGATCGCGCCAGTGTAGACATAGCCTCTGAGTGGCAGCTCGTGACGGCCAAGAAAAATTTAGGTAGTAGTCCCCTCACTGCAATATCAATCATCTCACATGCTTTTTTAAATAAAATAAATCCTCCTTCATCACTTCTTTGTAAGAGAAATATATTGATTAGTTTGTTTATTGGTGTAAGTGTATATCTGAGAGAAAACTTTACTGAGGAAAAGCCAACTATGAGAGAGAGAGACTCACATTTAGATTACATCTACATTTGAAATTAGCACCATGATTCCAATTTAGAGTAGACAGACTCAAGCTAGCTCTCACCAAGCTAGCATGGTGAAAATGTAAGCATAGCTGCAGAAAAATAAGAACATAAGAACAGCCTACTGGGTCAGGCCAAAGATCCATCTAACCCAGTATCCTGTTTTCCAACAGTGGTCAATTCCAGAACAGGTAATCATCAAGATGAAGACATACCATGGATTTATATACAGGTAGAAACATGTTTTCTGTCTTATTCTCTCTCTATTTTTTGTGATTCCAAACATTGTTTGCTTTTTCAGAGAACTGTCCACAATAACTCCAAGATTTCTCTCTTGAATGAATAGCTAATTTAGTGCCCATCATTTTGTGCACGTAACTAGGATTATGTTTTCCAAAATACATTACTTTGCATTTGTCAACATTAAACTTCATCTGCCCTTTTGTTGCCCGGTATGACACGGTGTACCAACCCTGCACTGGCAGTGGAGGGTTAACCAGGCTTGCTGGGCTGAGAAGGCCCCTTCCCTGAGGCCCAGCTGGGCATGCTCCAGCTGCAGAGTCAGTATAAAGGATGGTTGAACAGCTTAGTCAGGGGTGACCACTGAAGGGGAAGGAGCTCCTGCCAGAGCCTAGGAGCAACCGCCCCTGCGGGACCAGCCAGAGCTGCTGCCATCGCAACTGCCACCCCAGCCAGAGCTATCACATCAGCCAGAGCCACAGCCGTGTCAGCCGTGTCAGCCACAGCCGCGGTGCCAGCTACAGCAGCTGCACCAAATGTCGCTGCCAACGCCGCAGCATTTGCCAGCCCTGGTGGGGACAAGGCCAGCCAGCAGACGGGGTAGGAAGCAGCCCAGGGCAGGGAGCAGGAGGTACCCCGGAGAACTCGGTGTGCTTCAGTGGCAACTCCCCGCCAAGCCAGTAGTGGGAACCACCCATCACTGATAGGGCCCTGGGCTGGGGCCCGGTGGAGAGGGAGGGCCCGGGCCTTTCTACCCCATACCCTTGCACCCCAGACAGAGGGCATTATAGACCCTGCCGCTGGGCCAGATTTACCCCCCATGGGGCGCGCGACCCCATGATACCCAGTCATCTAGTTTTGTGAGATTCTGCAGGAGCCAAACCTGGGGGGCAAGAAGCCCTGCAAGCTGGGCTGGAGCGCTCCCCAGCCTGGGATCCCGCTTAGTCGGTTAACCAGTTAAACCTACGTTTAACCAGTTACCTGATTAAATGGGATTTTACATCCCTATAATAGCTATCTAGATGAGGATAAGGTAGATACCATTGCTAGGATGTCTGGAAATGCAGTGATCTGCCAAGCTACATTGGATCCCTGATGGTGACACAAAACTGTCTTCTAGTGACAGCACAATTGAGGGGAGGACAATGACTGATACAGTATCTGCCATCCACTGGAAATGAATGTCATGTAGTATACAGCGGCAGAAACACTATATCCATCTGTGAAGAGGTAAATCAAGTATGCAAAGAAAAATAATGTAGCTATTATAACATGGGCAGCAGCAGCATAGGCTTGCTGCCCCACATACATACCCACCCACCCACAGGGTCTGGTCAGCTTTTTACTTGGGGTAGCTAGCCCATTTGCTGCTCCCCATAATACAATACTACTTTCTGTACACTATCATATCTATTGGAGTCGGTAAATCAACTGAAGGATATGTAAGTTTTACGGCTGAATTACATAATGTAACAAAAGGTGTCAGTTAAGGGATTCTCTCACATGTTTAAACTCCTAATCAATTGTGCAGTAAAAAACAGATACCATAGACCTTATCCATGTCTCTTAGAATTACTGGCATCATTAAAAGCAGCAGGATTTGACCTTAGATTTGTAATCATCTCTTCATCCCAAAGGAATTGTAATACTCAACATCTAACTGCATATAAATCTACTCTGAGAGGTGTCTGTCATATCAATTAACAAGCCTTGGAAAGTTTATCCAAAGTTTATTTGCCAAAGGCCTGATCTTACTCCAATACACAGGTGCCCTAAATCAGACCCTATCTCTTTGTCTGGAAATCCCCTCATTGTTTGGATCTAAAGACCTCCAATGACAACTGGTAGTCTAGACTTCCAAATAATACTGCCTCTCACCCCATGTCAGTGGTAGGCAACCGCCACTGAACCAGTTAATGATCACCACCTCCCCGCCACCACCTTCTGTCAGGGTACATATGCATCAGGAACGATATAAAAAAAAAAACATAAGAACTATAATTTTTTAAATGGAAGTCAAGATTCTGCAGATACTAATGGCACTAACACAAAAATATTTGCCTTGATTGAAACATATTTTTTTGGTCAAAAAAATCCTAATACCTGAATGTTTCTGCAAAGGCTTTAAAATTAACCACAAATCTTAGAGGACTATACTCAGTTTGAAAAGCATTCTGATAATGAGAAATGCTAAATGATAACTATTGTTAATACATTAGCATAATTCCCATCGTCATTAATGGCAGCTGCCTATACAAACAGAAAAATGTCATGAAATAGTAGTAGAAATACTTTACAAGAATAGATTTCAGTTATTACTCACTTACAAAGGATACATTTCCAATGTTACTATGATACTTGCAAGTAACTGTGTGCTCCTCTCTTTTGAGAATTAAGACATACAGGAACATGGTTAACTCAAATCCCACTTATTTCCATTTTATTTACTGTTACAAAGAGTAACCATGATTAGTATAACAAAGTGTACAGAAAAAGATCAAAATCTATGAAAAAGTTTACAAAAACCTGAAGATTTA